CAGAAAATTAGAGGAACATGTATTTAGAATAATTAAAATATTTTTAGTATTACCCAACAGAGAAAACGCTTAAATATGTAAATTATTAACCTTAGTTAAAAAGAGTATCGGTTTTTTTATTTGTTTTTTGTAGAATATATAAGGGATTAAGTTTTATTATATTTTTAAATACAGTATTTTTATTAAAAAAACTTTTTTTAAAAAAAAGTGCGAAAATGTAGTAAAATGGAAAACAAATAGTATTGGCAAGAATAAAAACGAAAATACCATTTTTTGCCAATATGACGCGATTAATTCACTCGTTATATTTTCAAAGGTGTTACTTAAGCACGCCTACATATTAATGCATTTAATTTCAGGCAAGGGATCGTACGGCATTTTAGGTATAACACGTGTACTTCTATTACGCCTTATAAGGCTACTGAATGTCGGTCTTTGATTCAGACGCTTATTATCAGATATTTCACTGAACTTGTAGAAGTGTCTTTTTTTTTGGTTCTTGGTTCCGTTCGCTGTTATTCCAACTTCCCAATACTTCACAGAGGTGAAGTGGTCAGTTTATGTTTAATATTAAGCTGCATTACATCCTTTTAGTCATAAAGCAAACGTCGGTTCTTTGGTAGATCGCGAGCTAATCAGCTTGTTGTCCCAGTTCAATTCTTAGTTCTGAATTTTCCTTTCTGTGCTTTTCAAAGGTTTTAGTTAATAATGTGTTGATTTTGGTGGATCTGAGATGCGAAACCCGAATTTTGTATTATCACACTACAGTATTTATCAAGTAGCTTCTCATGTTCTTGTAGTTTAATCATGGTTTAATTATTTTGTAGATTATGAGTTTTTGCTACTATCACTAGCCAATTAAATCAGTGTTTTTCTGAAACAAATGGAATTTCTTTTTTGCTTCGTTTTTAACAAAGAATTTAGAAAATTAAGAATGCATACCACTGTATTAAAAGGAAAATCTTGTTCGTTGCCTAGTTTAAGCTCACAAATGTAGGAGGATTAGATAATTCAAATTTAAAATTGGTAATCGAGACTGGTAACTTTGTTTTATGGATAGGTTTTAAATGATTATTTTGCGGTGACTTTCAGGAAGCGTAAGGGAAGCCGTGTAATGGGCTTTTCTAATGGCAACGGTGGTATTTCAAGAAGAAAACAGATAATGAGAGGTCGGAAGCGTGATGATGTGAGTTTTGATTACCTTAAGAAGTTTATCATCAAACTTTTTTTGGCACAGTATTAGCTTTACTGACATAATACTTCGAAATATTGCGTAAAGTTTTGTACGTTTCATCTTATATTATTGATCCACTTCCTCACCACTGACTATATGTTCTGTTATTCAAGCTAACTGAGTTGTTTCCAGTTAGTAATCTCTGATATTATTTATGTTTTAGTTACCGTCTCTCGGCATTGTTGCAAGACGAGCAACTTCGCGATATGGCTTATCACGGCAAAACAGAACTGTTACAGTGAGGTATGCAATCAGATCCTGATTATTACCTTTGACTCAAGAAAATGACCTGAAACATTCTGGATTCTCCATATAACCTCCACTGGTTAGAACAATTGGGCCTGGATTCGGGATAAAAGTAAATAGGATTCCGGACTTACGCAGGTTAGCGGAATGTGCTGGGAATCTGTAGATATGATGTTGGCAATTTCAGAATATTGCTGGAAAAATATTATTTTCCGATGAAAAATCACTGCTTGTAAATTTTAAGCGGGCGAAGAATTGGTATAAATACGCCAATCAACAAATATGCGAATCGAAGAACATCTTTTTTCAAATCGATTCGTCCACAAAAAGCAACAAGTCAGAAGGCAGAATTACGGTGTCATGATGCATTATGGGATAAGGTATGTTAAAGCTTTAATGAACCAGCTTATTTTTATCCAAAGCACTTTTGATAAGTGGGGATTGCTGAATCTAAGATTTCAGAAAAGTTGCCGAATTTGTTTATCTGGAAAAAAGTTGTTATTGCCAGGGTGATTGAGTTCAAAATTAGTAACACGCGTCTTTTAGAGTTTCGGGTCTTTCCATAAATTGTTTGTTTCATAGATGATAATTTTGTCAAAACAATGGTGTAGATTTTTAGAGTGCTTTATTTTATGAATTTCTTAGGAGTGGTTAAGTTCTATCCAGTTTATTTAGGATTAGAAGATGGCATATTGTACCATGCCACGTGAAATTAAGATACTATTGCTCATAAAATGGTTTAACAACTTCATTGTTCATAACTTCTTTTTCAAATATATCGTGGCAGTGTAATGCTTTTTTTTTTCTTTTATAGTGTGAACGTCTGTTTCGAATAGGTGATATAGTTTCAATAATAGATAAGGATGATGGTTTGTGTTATTTTGCGCAGATTCGAGCTTTACTATGTAATCAATTTGGTGAACGTTTTGCCGCTCTTACTTGGTAAAATATTGTTTGAGTTTATCGACTTTACGCTGTTTTTAATGATATTCATAGTTTGACACTTCTTGATTTTGAAAAATTCATCCTGGACATTCTTTGTGAAAGAATGGTATTTTAAGAATAAGCCTCTACGAGAAGCAATTCTTCAGGTTGGTTCCCACTGAATCAGCTGATGAAGCTCACCACTTTGATGCAGAACATTTTGTACATGCACTGTCCGACTCAGTGATGTATCCTCTAGAGGTAGTTGTTTTTCTCATTTCATTTTTTATTAAAAGTGTTCAAGTCTGATAACATTTAGCTATAATTAAAGTAACATGTTTTCGAACTTTTTATAACTATAAATTCTTTACATGGTATATAAATATTCAAAATGTAGAAATACGGGTACTGAATAATGTTTGCAATACAGTTTTATTTTTCCTTTCCAAAATTGGTCAAAAACTTCTTTAATGCTTACATTTCAGTAAAGTCCAGATATTGCCAATGATCAAATATCAGATTTAGTCATCGATTTCTTTCTTTTGCTTTTCTTAGAAGAGGTGGGGATTGCAGATTCATCACGAAAGAAAGTTCACTGGAATTTGTGCCACTTAGTGCAACGCTTTTCTCCTTATTGATCATTAGCAGTAATAGAGCATATTGAGCACTATTTTTTCAATGAAATTCATAGTACTAGTTATCTAACCAAGCACTCGTAATTTATTTAGATTTAGTTGTGGTGAAGCAATAAAACAAGTTACGCGACGTATTCTTTATAAACTTTTGAAACTTTGAAGGAGTTAAATTGGATTCTAGGTTTGCACATTTGTACAGCACGCTCCATTGCTTCCGGGTTATTGTCATGATTGGAGACCGCGGTCTTTAGTGGAAAAAAAATTACTTGAACAGATGGAAGAAAGAGTTCGTTCTGTAAATACAATACCAACTAAATTAATTGCATTTGATGAAAAAATTCCGTTGTCGAAATAGAAATGCACTTCAGAGCAATGTTTCTTATGAAAGCACGGATTTACAAGCATTTTGAAAAAACTTTCTGAATCTTTCTCTTCCTTTATATGTATATATACATTGTTCTTAAATTTGTTAAATTCGCCTAATTTTTTTTTGCGTTTAAACTGTTGAAATGTTGGATATTTTGCTGATAAACTGTATTTTTTCGTTTGACTCATTTTTGCATTTTTCCGATATTAAGAATAGTTTGAACGATGAATATAATAGTCTGTGAACAAACACTGCTAATTTAATGTTGTATGAATTAAGTACTTTCGTCACTCTTCACACGACATTTGTTGATGAAATTGTTGACGTCACAGGAACATTAATGTGCGTCATCACTTGTTTATTTGCCACCTTCATGGTCGATTGAACAAAACCTCGAATGTCATTATCAAGCACCTCATTCTTGACAAAAAGTGTGAAGAAGTGGAGTTATCTGTTATTGTTGGACAGAGAAACTTTTGAAACTAGACAAAAACAATTCGAAGATTGGGTTAAATATTGTTGTTCAAGTTCAAATCAATAAAAGAATGTAAACAATTATATTGATCTACTACGTAATATGCCGTGCATTCCCGTTCACACTTCACAAATTCTCACATATTTGGCAATACCATGAACCTTTATTAGTTATCGGAACTTACCAAATAAATGAATGAAAAATTTATGTGCAATATAATGCAGATAAATTTTTCATTCGTTTCAATTTATTCCTCAGATCATTTTGAATTATAAGGTGTAAAAATGTATAACTTAGATATACCATATATACATAACACCACTTATGACCATGAAGTAAAAGGCTAAAACTACGCTAATTAGGATTGAATAAGTTTGATTAATTGTTATATAATTACGTTTGTGATAGAAAATATGTTAAGGATAATTCTAAAACTAGAGTATAGTAAGTAGTTAGAATAATATGGAAGTCAAAATGAAATTTTAGAAGAGAATACTAGCTGGAGAATATATTTTGTATGATTAGCAGTTGTGTTTGCTACGTCGTTCATATTTTTTTCATCCTAAAAATTTTCATGTTTATTTCTCTGTTTTTATCTCTCTCTCTCTCTTTCTTTTTCTCTCCTCATATATATATATGTTGAACTATAAATAATGATATATATGTCCAATACACTATTTCTCTACTGAGGTTCTTGACTGTGCTCATTTCATATTTTAAGCTTTCTATAAAATTTTTCGGCTAATTTAGATTGAAATATATTATTGGCATTTAACTTATTTCAATTTTTTATTCAAAGAATTAATTTTGTGCAAATGAATGAGTGAATGGACGAGTAAATGAATAAATGAATTAATTAATAATTGATTGAGTGATTGATTGATTAGAAATGGGTTGAAATTTGTAAATGCATTCAATTTCTAACGGACATAATTATATTAAATTATGTTTTTTTCAATCACATTTTTTTGTGTGAGATGTTTTAAATTAATCAAAGAATTTTTGATGGATTAATTTTTTTTTCTACTGAAATTAAAAATGTCTTTTCATTTTTTCTAGCAATGTTGAATGATGTTTCGGTTATCAAAAGTATTCGTTATATTCTTCTCAATTTATCAAATGTACTCATTTGGGGAAACCAACAAAAACAATGAATCCACGAAGGTTTTCCTAAAATCATTTATACTAAGAATTGGAATTACAAAGTTACAAATTAGTATTCTTTAATGAATTTTTTCGATAAATTTCAGAATGAACTTCTATAATATAAAAATTTACCTGATAGCCTGTAATTTTCTATTCCCAGTAAAATTGCTTATTACGAAGAATTGATTAAAAAGTTGCAAATTTAAAATTTGCAATATGATAAAAGGATTTTTTAAAAATAAAACATTATTGCGTGTCGAGTTTTCATGAAATTATTTAGGAAATGCATTACGGAAGCAATGATCAAAGCGTGGATGACACATGCGAACACTTCTTGAAGTTTTTATTTGTCAAAATTGAGGTAGAAAATTTGTATTTTATCAGAATAACAATTTTAACAATATCAAATAGAGTAATAATAACTGACAATAAATTATCGTTATTATTATTATGATTTATTATTATTATGATTTATTATTATTATTATTATTATTATTATTATTATTATTATTATTATTATTATTATTATTATTATTATTATTTTTAATATTGTTAGAAACAATATTATCTAGTTTTGTCTGTTGAAAGACAGGATTACGTGCAAGAAAATATTAGATAGATTTTTTCTTTGTAAATTTTTAAATTCCAAATCTCACTTCGAAGCAACTAAAAAAAAAACAAATAAATTTTTACAGCCAAAATGAATGTTTGAATCTGATTCTATGTTCAACTTTTAACTGTCCATCTAATTTTCTTAAATAAAAAAAAAATTTTAAAAATTAAAACTAAAATAAATAGAAGAAGAAAGGAAAGAGTGTGAATTAGAAAAATTCCATTTCCTTCTACTTTTACAGGTACTTGAAAATGAAATAGAAAAGAAATCGAGACAATTAATTATTAAGCAAAAAAGAAAAACTGCAAATTTTAACTGAAATTTTTCCTTCAAAAGTAGTTTTTTCTCAATGATATATCAATCAGATAATTCAATCAAATTTATTCTTAATATATTTTTAAATTTCCTATATTGCATTTCATTTTTTTTCAGGCGATCCAGCACAATATCGTGAAGTTTGCAAACAATGAATATGTCAAAGCTTTTGCTATTGTTTTTCTTGTCATAGTGTTCTTTTTCATGATTTGTTTATGTTCCACTATTTTCACTTATAAACTTTTTGAGTACTTTCATTGAATTCAAACGTGGTTTTTTCTTAAATTTATGGAAGAAAGAAGAAAAAACGAAAGTAATAAAAATTTTCAATAAATTTTTGCTTAAAATGCAAGCGAAAATATTAAAACATAATCGATTCATTACAACTGAACAAGCAAAAACAAATTAAATTAAATGCTCGTTTAATTAATAATGCTGAAAATACGCATTAAAGTTTTCTATTTCAACAAATATTGATCAATAAATTTTCCTTATAATAGCAATGGGAAATAAAAAAGGGTCAATAAAATTGGTCAATAGGTCAACAAATGGTTCTGATTAATGTCACATGCAACGAGTATATCAATGTGTTTTCGAAATAATATTAATTTATATTAACTAACTAACTTCCTTTATTGATTATTAGCATTGCAAACATAACAGTAAGAGTTTATACATACAAATGATATGTATGCTTCTGATTAGTTCATTGATAAAGTTAACTTTCCGAATCAGAGAAAAACCAATAAACAAGTATTTATTAATGGGCAATTTATGGTGTATCTGCATATATATATATATATATATATGCGCGTGTGTGTATGTGTATGTATATATATATATATATGTGTGTATGTATGTATGTATGTATGTAAGATTGTCGTTGTTGTTGTTCAAAATTTAACAATTCTTTATAACCGTTCGAAAAAGGACGACCAACTTTTGTTCTTCATTTCGTCCCTTCCCTCACTCTTCTTGTCTTTCACGCCCACTCGTTTTCATTTTACCTTCAAATTAATCATTTCATTTTTTCTTAACCTTTCATTGTCTGACCTCATATATTCATTCATTCATTTATTTAAAAGAAAATTTTCAATTTTTTTTTCTTTTACTAAAAACTTCGGCTATTTGTGTCATTTGTACATTATATTATATTATATATATAATTTAATTTCCAAAAAAATAAAACGAAGAAATTTCTCTTTTTATTTTATTTATTCAAATTTCCAATAAGTTTTTAAATAGGACAGTTTTTGATGATTGCATTAATTTGACTTATATTGATAGCATTTTAAACATTTAATACACGTTAAAAAGTGAGCTAATTCTGAACTCCTTTTGAGTGCTTATTTTTGATTTATTGAAATGGCTCATTAAGAATATTTTTTAATCTAGGAATATTTCTTAGTTGAATTCTCATTTGATTATTTTTTAATTATTTCAGTTGTTTCGTTTGAATCGTTCCATTATGCTAAATATTACATAACTTACGTGAGCTTACATAGTCATACAAATTTCTCAAGTTACATCATAAACGTTGTTAAGCTATAAATCTCATTGATCAGCGTCCTAAATTATAGCTTTCATTTTTACAATAATTGGAGAATTACTGTAATTCATTGAAATGTTTAAAATGCACAGTGATGGCAACTGTATATGCCTTTTCTATTACTGTTATCATTTTTAATAATTTAATTTCAATTTATACTCTTCTTTTTAAAATGTTTCCTTTTATATGATTTTGCTTTACTTTCATTTTTTTCAATAATTACCTACTACTAATAATTTTTTATCTTTCGATAATATCATATCATTTTCAAATAAATGAAATTTCATTTTTTTAATGCAAAATTTTTTCTCTTATATTTGTTTCATCACAAAGAAAGAAATAATTTGAAACAAATTAAACTTTTGAAAAAAATTTAAGAAATACAAGAATTTTTCTATTTTTTAAAAATTTAATGCATTTTATGTAATGATAATGATAGTGATAATAATATCAGTAAATAACAATGTTTATAATTAATAATAATAATAATAACAATAATAAATAATAGAACAAATATTATTATATAACAAACAAATATATATAAAACAAATATATGCTAAAACTAGCTCTATCAAAATACGTACGTGAAATTTTTTACACTGCTTACGTTTTTTATTTACTCACCATGATTTGTTTGATTAAACTTATTATGAATCATTTCATAAGTATTACTAATTGACTATGTTGAAACGATGAATTATTCTATTGGAAAATTGAAAATTTTACTTTCTGTATCTGTTCTGTTTTAAAAAGTTTAATCAAATAAATCAGTAAGAAGAAATGTATTAAGATTGATTTAATATAATTAGTTGATAATTATCATAATATCATTGTTAGATTCAAGTAGTTACTGTTATGCAAAACTATTTTTACTTCTTATCGCAATATATTTACATATTTACTAGCCATTTCCCTTTCTTCCTGTTTATTTTATTCATAAGTTCGATGAAGTATGGGCAGTCAGAAAAAAGAAGGAAATCAAATAATGTATTGGTAGATAGAGATAAAACGTAATTATGAAATTTTCATTCAAATGACAATCTACAAATCGATACAACTAATATTTTAAAATTTAAAGCCATATTTGGAAAATTTGGTTGACAAAAAAGAAAAGGATGTGACAGGAATAAATGAACTAATGATCTTTTTAATTTATTAATTTTTAGAAAAAAAAAAAAGAAGATACAAATATAAAGATTAAATTAATGAATGTATTGAGAATTTAAAAAAAAAAAAAAAAAATTAGGAGATTAAACGAATGGGCTGGTCAAACTTCCGTATAAAAGTTATTTGTTTAGGTCTTTAAAAAAAATGATGAAAAATAAAAAACGAAAAGTCAATTAAAAGAAAACGAGAAAAATGAAATCAAATAATTATTTATGAGATTCAATAAGTTTTTCCAAAATTCAAAAGAAAAATTCCAAAGTATTACTAATTCGATCTTTGAAAATAGAGTTTAATTACAAAATTTTTTAAATAATTTCATGAATTCATAAGTATTCAATGCTATTTCTTGAAAAACGACTTATGTAATGAAATTAATTGTGTTCAAACAAAATTTAATTCACATTAAGAAAAGATATTTTATTGAAATCATTGAGAATAGTTTTTTTTTTTAAGAAAAAAAAAAGAAGGACGTGCTATTTCTCAAATATATTAATACTTTCATTGAAGAGAGTAATAATAACATGATTGTTCATTTTAGTTGTACCATTAATATGATATGATATGTTATCACTATCATTATTGTTGCACTTAGCACTTTGCTATTTTTTCTTCATACTTAAAAATAATCAATGCTTCCTAGTTTTTTTTCCTTTTAATTTTAAAATGATTCCAGATTATGAATTTAGTATTTGCACTTTAAAAAAATTTTATTATTCACTTGTTTTACCCTCATAATTTATAGTATTACTTAATTTTGATTAAAATTCTATTATCATTTATTGAAATAAAAGCAATGAGAAAAAGAAGGGAGCAAAAAAGTTGAGCAAATGATAGCAGTGAAAAAAAGTGGAAAAATTATACAAAATATTATCATTTAAAAAAAAAGAAAAGCAAAAATAAAAACAAAAATGCATATATAATTGTGATATATATTTCATCTTCTCTTTTCTAACTCATTCATCCACGTTTTTAATTAAAATTTGCCATTACTAACTGCTATTGCTTCATTAAGCTATTATAAAATAATTTATGCGACACGAGAAAAATGAAACAAAATTTAATTACTTCCACTTTTTTTGTAGCTGTTTTTTTTTTTTTTTTAAAGTAAATTCCATTCACATTTTAAAATGCAATGAAACAGTGATGCGATAAAATAGAAAACACTGACAGATCAAAGAAATTTCGAAATGGAATAAAATCTAATTTAATGAATGCACCAATATCAACTCTCTATTTATATATTTCATACTTCATCCTTCGTATTTTATCCTTTATATTTTATCCTTCACTTTATTAACCTTTATACCTTATCTTTCATAACTAATCCATTTCTCATCAAATATTCACTTTTCTTTTATTACAAGTAACAATAGAAAAGAGCGAAGAAAGAAAAATAATCTGCATACTTTAATCAAAAAACTATTTTATTTAACAAACTGTCAATTATTTTTTTAACAATGATATGGTAGCAACAACTATATCTATTTTGCTTCTTTGCTTCCTTTTTTCTTTATTTTTAGTCAATAATTCGCAGTTTACGAAAAAAAAAAAAAAAAAAAAAAACAAAGTTTTGAAATGAAAAAATCACCGTTATCATGATAAATGTAACATAAATACAATTTTTTTTTAAGAAAAAAGATAAAAGCTTAGCTTTTTCTTTTCCCCTCTCTCTCTCCCTCTCCCTCCCTATCTCTCCCTATATTTTTTCTTAGAAAAAGATCTTAAAATTTATTTGGCTATTTTAGCAAAATTAGCAATATAATGATCCTATATATACATTAGTGAACATAATTATAGATAATTACAATGGAAAAATGAAATAAAATTTAGGCCTAACAAATTCTGTCATTTAATTTCACTTATTGTTACTATGAAATTTTTTTTTCCATTTTTTTCTTCAAACATATTTCTAAATGAGTTAATTTTATATATTATTTATGCTTTTTTCTTTTCTTTTCTCATTTAAGGCAATTTTAAATTTTTGTAGTTTTTCTGGAAGGAAATTAATTTATCTCCCATCATTTCAATGATATGTATTGCATATGACCTTGATGAAATGTTTATAAAATGGATATTTTATTCCGTCACATCAACGTCATTTTTCCATTTTATATTGAAATTCTTCTGTCTCTCTTTTTCCCTTCTATTTTTAAGAAGAGGAATGATGAAAAGGAGAGAGACAAGGAGAGGGAGAAAGGAAAAGAGAGAGATTAAAAATGGATAAGAAGAAATAATTATTTGATAGAAATTCTTTTGAATTCGTTAAAATAACTGATTTTATCAAAAAAAATTTTTTTTTCCATTTTTTGACTTTAAATGAAGTATTTTGTTATTATTTCTAAATATGTGGTATTTTTAATTAATTTACAGAAAGAAAAAAGCAGCAAAGATGATTTTGTCATTCAAAAAAAAGTAATAATAATAAATTTGCTAATTCTTTACAAATGCTCTTCAAATGATATTCTTTTTTTGTTCTACTACAATAAATAATAATTATTGAGGAAATTATTCTCGTAACTCATAATTAATGTAGAAATAAGACAAT